AAGAGTAGCCACACTATGTTATTAGTGATCAGACTTTAGCTGTAGTGTGTCGATAGAGGTTGACATGGGAGCTAATCTGCGAAGGGAGACACTTTGTAGAGTGTGATAGACGTGGGTAGGAGAAGAGGTCTTGAGCTGGGAAGGGACTTCTTAAATAGGATCCACAGAATGCCACCTATAGGCAAGAAATGGATAGATTTGTCTATATCAAAATAAAGGTTCTCTCACTTCCATGTGTACAGGAACCACTCGGAGGGCACCTTAAAAACAGATTCCCAGAGACAATAATGCAGTAGGTAAGTTGTATAAATTTACATTGAAATAAATTATTCTCTATAAAGGTCATACTCAAAATACATCTTATCCTAATTACCTTAGTGCATTTTACTTTCATGTGTGTTATTTTTGTCTGTTGTATCTGTACTTAGGTAATATTCTGTAATACTGTGCTACCATGCATCCCTCCCCAACTAACGTTGGTGTCTTGCAATCAAGCCTTGGTGAGAATATTTACACCAGGGAAGTGGGCAAGAGGCCACAAATCAAACTGCATCCCTCCCCCCTCGCTGCTCCCCTTTTGGAGAACTACTCGTTTCACATTTACCAGCACACTACTGAATACGGTCTTTAAAGAAATCAAGAGTGGTATCAGCAGCGAGGAAAATCAAAGCATGAGCTATCTGAAGGGCAGAGAGAAAACTTTGTTTATTCATTGCCCTAGGAGTACTGTGGGTGGAGAACAGCAAGGGTGGAGGTACGGCAACCTGACCCAATCTTTTTGCACCCGTACACTCTCCACATTCCTTTGAAATCTTGTCTGGATAGTTGCAGCGAAAAGCAAAAGTGATGGGAAGCAAGTCTAGGGAAGGCTCCCAATTCTGTGCTGAGCTAGCAAGCAAAGGATTCTCTGGCCACAAGAGGTGAACCTAGTCAATGGTGCCCTCTAGTGTCAAAGAACAGATTGGCTCCGAAGAGGAAAGCTGAGAAAGATTTCTCGTGATTTAGGCCCTGGAAACATTAACTTGCCTGGTCTTCCCTTCCTTTCTTTTCCTCTATTTTCTTTCCCCACTTACATTTCTCTGCCATCTGAGTCACTTTATACCACTCCCCCAACAAAAATATCTATTATTTTTTGAAAGATCTGAACTCTTTGTTGCTCCCAGGCAAACATCGATAATACAGAGTTGAATAGCATAAGGATATGCAAATCGGTACTTCCTTATCTTATATATAATAATTTGGAATGAATTTGTTTAGAAAAGCTGTGGCTCACATAAATCAAATGTTTCCTTGCTTTTGAAGCATGCCCCAACTAATTTCATTTCTGGGGACGGGGCAGATGAAATAGTTTTCTTAGTGTGTTATAGTTTAACAACGCTAACTTATTCTCAAGTCTTATTATTATTATTTTATAAAGCTTCACCCAATGTGGGGCTTGAATTCATGATCCTGAGATCAAGAGTTGCACACTTTACCAGCTACCAGACAGGTGTTCCATTCCAAGTCTTACTTATGCTATGCAGATATTTTTGTAAGGAAATGGTAGAAGAAATATCCTGCTCATAATTTCCTGGTGAGTAGAGTATCTCATTCTTTTATGAGGGCCTGTGTTCTGTCTTTTGTTTGAAGTGAAAGCAGTTGTACATGGCTGTGTTCTCATAGTTGCAGGGTCCTCCAGAAATTGGAGTGTGATTCTGAGGTTGCTGTTTTCCTGCTGGAAAGGTTTACTTTGCATCTATTACTTTGGAGACATAATATGGTAGCTCCTCAACAGGATTACTTTTCTTTTGTCCCTTTAGTGATTGGTGGGCTGAGCAGAATTAACATTGAATTCATTGGCCCAAAGTTGTTCCATTCTGGTAGTTTCCATCTTTACATTGAGGACAACTAACTTCTGGGGTGCATGGGTGGCTCAGTCAGTGGACTAACTTTGGTGTCCGACTTTGGCTCAGGTCATGATCTCATGGTTCAGGAGGTCTAGCCTGCATCGGGCTTGTGCTGACAGCTTGGAGCCTGGAGCCTGCTTCGAATTCTGTGTCTCCCTCTCTCTCGGCCCCTTCCCCGCTTGCGCTTTCACTCTCTCTCACTAAAAAATGAATAAACATTAAAAAGACAAAAGGATAACTAACTTCTAAGTTCAGGGATATTTCAGATGTTATTTATCACACAAAATCAGTCAGTCTGCAGCGTTCGTTCAAAGTGGAAGTGAAAGTACTGTTAACAGCTATGGATGCAGGATCCAGACTTTGGATCAGACCTGTTCCAGGACATATTTTGTCAGTAATTTTAAAAATGGAGGTAGTTTAGAAATCTGATCTTGAGAAGGCCACGCTATACAAACACAAGGCTTTATTCCAGGTGAGGGTCATGGGTTTTGTAGTCATTTCAGCTGCTATCTGTATAAGCAAGACTCCATCAATAACCTTATGAGGGTCACTCTTTTATTTTATTTTTTATTTATTTTTTTTTATTTATATATGAAATTTATTGTCAAATTGGTTTCCATACAACACCCAGTGCTCATCCCAAAAGGAGGGTCACTCTTTTATATAGGATGTCAATTTTGCCTTAGAAAATGAGCCTAAGTGACTCTAGAGGCTACAAACTGTTTTTGGTAGAAATAGAGGATCCTGTTAGAATGGTAGAAGTTAATTGAGGGCACCTGGCTGGCTCAGTTGGTAGAGCATGGGACTCTTGATCTCAGGGTTGTGAGTTCAAGCCCCATGTTGGGTGTAGAGATTACTAAAAAAAAAAGAAAAGAAAAGAAAAGAAAAAGTTAATTCTGCCCATTTGTGGCCCAAAGTATTAAATATATTAAGGAACAAGTATTAAATACAACAAGGAATGAGGCCTAGGTATTTCCATGGTCTTAGATGTTCAACAAACTTTCCAATTTATGAAATGGTGACAAACTTAAAAGCCTGTGGCATTGTGTTGTTACAAGACCCTGGAAAGCTTTTTGAGTACAGATTATACTACTTATCTGGGCTGAATCCTGTGTGGTCTTTAACTGCTCCCTGAACCTTACATAAGTAACACTCTTTGGGATGACCTCTTCATTCCCCAGCTAGCCTCAGAAACACACTGGCTTGTTCCTGCCCATTTGCCAGGCAAAGTTAATGTTCCAGGTTCCTCAATTCTGTTTGAAACCTGGTAACCAAATCTCAAAAGCTTCTTCACCACTCGTGTGGTTTGAAATATATCTCAGGCTTTGACTTATTTCACATTTCTTTTATTCGGTTAAGGTACAACAACCCTGACTTTTGCCTGCTGAAATAGACAAGCAAAGTTGGTTCTCCATAGTTCTTTCCTTGACCATCCGTTTTGTCTCCAAATCTTAATGAACCTTGAAGTCAGCCCTTACGTGGGTATGCTTCTATTGAGTAGAATAAAAGTTTATCTACATATTATACTGTCAACTCCTGATTTCTACTAATTAGCTCTTTGTTAAAAATTTTTCTTTTTTACACTTACTTTTGAGAAACAGAGTGAGACAAAGTGTGAGTGGAGGAGGGGCAGAGAGAGAAGGAGTCACAGAATCTGAAGCAGGCTCCAGGCTCTGAGCAAGCAGTCAGCACAGAGCCTGTTGAGGGGCTCAAACCCACAAACTGTGAGATCATGACCTGAGCCGAAGTAGGACGCTCAACCGACTGAGCCACCCAGGCGCCCCATAGCTCTTTAGAATAAAGATGGAGGTTTCTGGTAACTTTTTGAGACATTAGAACACCGGAAAGTGGTTTCTGAGATTCAGTTGACTTAGTTTTAGTGCCATTTTATTATATTCTTAAATCTTTGAACATTGACAGTCCATTTAGCACATAAGAGAACCCGTAAGTTCTAAGTGCTTAAGAAAGGAAATTAATATGAAAGGACCTACTGTAGGTCTAATGATTAAGTACCTTATTTGTTCTGAGCCCTGAGCACTTGTTTTGGGGAAACTGTTCCATCCTCAGTAACCTCCCCCCACCCCTAACCTTGTGGTCTAATGTACCTGCACCTACCGCAGTAACCATGCCCCTTATGAAGAACTGCTCTAGGGACTTGACAGATGACAAACCTGAGGCACAAACTAGGACACAGGTCTTCTGGGCTGTTGAGAGCTCTTCACACCATCAGGATGTTTTTAAACAAATGAGACTCTCTTTCATGAAAGATTCCAAGTCTTAAATAACTTAATAAAAATTCTTTTTGAGGTTTATTCATTTTTGAGACAGAAAACAAGCAGGGGAGGGGCAGAGAGAGAGGAAGACACAGAATTGAAGCAGGCTCCAGACTCGGAGCTGTCAGCACAGAGTCCGACACAGGGCTTGAACCCAGGAACCACGAGATCATGACCTAAGCTGAGGTCGGATGCTCAAATGTTTGAGCCACCCAGGCGTCCCTAAAATAACTCTTTAAGGCAACTTCAATGAAAAAGGAAGTCTTGGCTGCTTGTGAGACAACTGCCACTCCCAGAATCAAAAACGACTAGAACACAGACTTAAAAACCAAGTCATTTAATTGTGTCTTCAAAGGTAAACAATATTCGGGGCTGGATCCCAAGCCCTGAGAATGCCAGAGCTGAGGGTACAGAGTTCAGAGGGTCAGGACTCAGGGTGTTCTAAGGCAGAGCACTTCTGGAATTCATGCATTCCGTTTTGCAATTTTGCAAACTGCCAGAAACAGACCCCAAGAGTCTTTTAAGATGGGGAAAATTCAACTTCCACTTTTATAGGTAAGAGTGAAGAGTACCAATAATGTTCCGTTTACCTCTCCTCACTTTTCTCACATGACCGGAAGCCTGAGCTAGCGTGTCCCACACACACGGCAGCCTAAGCTGCGGTTCAGGTGCGAGCTCAGTGCCTCTGTGCACTCCCTTCCACGTTGCAGCAAGAGTGACCTGGGGCAGAGAGCTCTCAGCAGTACAGCTTTTAACAAGCACGTAAAGTAAAAAGAACCCTCTAGTGGCACACTGAGTTAGTTTATAAGATTTTAATTTACAAATTAAAAAGCTACATGTTTTATTTTTTCTCCTTTTTCTCTTCTTTCTTTCCGTCACTCTTTTCCTTCTCTTTTTCTTTCTCTTTGTCATCTTTCCTATCCTTTTTGCTTTCTTCTTTTTCCTGCCCTTCTTTCTTCTCTGCATCCCGGTTGGCAATTTTGTTGTTGATGAGGTTGTGCAGGGCAACCACAGAACGGATCAACGAGGCCAAATACACCACTACCATCTGGTCGTTGGTCTTCAGGTAAAAGGCCTTGACAAACTCCTGGAGGCTGACATCCGGCAGCAGGTTGAAGACGTCCTGTAGCTGGTAGATGATCTGGTGGTTGATGGGCAGCTTGCCCGTGGCCACTTTCTCCAGGTAGCTCCTGATATCCAGAAGCTTGGAGTTCAGTCCCTTCAAACCATGGACCTGGTTTGTGATCCGCTGGGAAAGAGTGCCCACTGTAGTGTCTTTGATGTCTCTGTAACAAGAAGGCAGGCAAAAGCATCAGTGCACTGTATTATCAAACAGCGTCTCAGAATCCAGGCAAACACCCAGCTTCGTGGGGAGGGGCAGGTTTTCAAAAGAAAAATGTTACTTCATTATTCTATCAAGATAAAGTGCCTTAATTTTGTTTTTATTTGGAGGCATACATTTTATCTTTCTCATCACAAGGCATTTCTCAAAAAACAGGAGAGAACTAAAAATGAAACCATTTCACTTAAAAAAAAAAACAAAAAACTATCTATTTCAACTTCCATGAAAAGGGTGCCATTTTCTCCATCCTCATCTGTATGATGTTGTGAGGAGCCTAAATCAGTCAGGACTCAATTTTGAACTGGAAGGAATCTTATTTGAGAAAAACTATGACCCTTTTGAATTAAGTGAGGGTTACAGTATCTTAAAATAAAAATCCATCCTCACACATAGATTGTCGGCAGGCTACCTTCCCCGAGAACCACACGCACAGCAAGAGCACACATCTGCACATCTTCACACATCTGTTCCTGTCACGTCAATACTGCAGTTGCCCAACAAGATGTATTACCCACAATCATAAATCGTGACTCAAGACACCCTAGAAATGTTCAGGGCCTAGAGCCCAGATCTCTCTACTCCTGACAGAGCCTCTCGGGCCACTCATGACTCTGACGCCATCCTGAGGCTCACCGTAACAAGTGCTCCACTCCGACTTCCTCAGCTTCCTCTGCTCCAATTTCACTGGTCACGTGCTCAAATGTTTTTGAGGTTGGAGTTCCATCCTAGGAGAGGAGGCTTAACCTTGGTTATTTGCTTACAAGCACAATGACACCCATTCCTTCTCACACCTTGGTTCCTCTGCTTTCAGTCAAATCACCTCACGGGTACAGTACTAACTAGGTTTCCATGTGCCGGCAGAAATGGGGGAGTTTGCTTTGAAAGCTTCATCTTCTAAGCTGACATTACAAATGGCCCTGCCCAGTGTTTCCGCAGAAAATCTTGACAATCCCTTAAGACTACTGTGGGGATGGACACTCGAGGAAGTCTTGATTAACTTGATTCTTAAAGCATATAATCCTTTCTAGAATAGGCAGTATACACAATACCTGTACTGGAAACAAGCTCATGTCAGATAATCTTTTAACGTTCTAGTGTCCCTCAGATCCAGTGATGCCAGAGCACCAAAACAATGCAGTCAGAACCAGCTTTCCGGTGGCCTGAATTAATCAAAGATCTGTCCAGGGATGTGGTTCACTGTATCACCTGGGGACCTCCTGATGGGGCTGCGGAGCAACTTTCCACAGACCCTGTGCCAGAGAAGAGGCTGTACATCTTCTGTAAAGGCTATGAAGTGTCTGCCAAGGCAGGAGGGCATAGCAGTGAGGGCACATTCTGCAGCCAGACAGCCTGGGTTCTATGGGAGAGGTGGGACCTTGGGAAAGTCACTTAACTTGTATTAAGTGGTGTAAATGTTAGCAGTAATTATTTTATCCAGGACAGTGTGAATCCTGCAAATGCCATTTATGTCTTTACTTTGGAAGCTAGAATGGCCAGGACTTCATGGCACGGCTTTCCAGGTGCTCATTTTCCCTTGGCTTCATCTTCTGTTATGGCCTTCATGTCCCTTTCATCCCTTATTGAAAAATCTTGCTTTTGTGTGTGTGTATGGGTGTAAGAACTTCTAACTCTTTTTGGAAAGGGCAGGGTAAAATTAACTTAAAAATCGTATCAGACCAAGGATGAAAGCCTTATTTCAACAAGGCAATAAATCTTCACCTAAGCTCCCTAGTGGCAAGGCAAAAAGAGAAACAGGCGGACAGAGCTCAGTGCAAGGAACATCTGCAGGGAGTTAACCTAAAATCTTTTTCCTGATTTAATAGCTGGACATAAGGATAAAGACTACCTATCTAAATCCAGACTTTATCCTTTAGATTTTTGACTTTGGAAATTCAAGATTGAGTTCAAGTGCAAAACTTTATGCTCACAACAAAACACATGTATTTTCACACCACGTGCTACCCTAGAATCAGAGTTTAGTTTTCTTGGAAATAGGGAAAAGCTATCTTCTGGTACCTCTTCGTGTCTACACCTGAAGCGCAAGCTAATGGACCATACAGCAGGTATTGGATGCTGTGGAGTGGAACATTCAGGCGTCAAATCACACAGATGGGTCCTGCCATCTAGCTCCAGGCAGCTCTGACTCACTCTATTAGAAAACCTCTATCTTGTCCACAGGGAAGGAAAATCCTCAAGGAGAAAGCAATGCTGGCCCAGGGGGAGCAGAACAGTGGAAACTACATTAGATTAAGACGAAACTCACCAGGCTTTGCACTTAACCGTGCTGTCAACATCTCTGGACAAATGTATGAGGAGGACTCTGGGCCTCAATTTCATTTGTAAAAGGGGATTTTAGATTTGTATGGTCCTGTCAATTTCTAAAATCTGCCCATTCAAAAACTCAAGGGGGAAAGAAACATAGTATCAAACTGTTGACAGATATCAACAAACTACTCCTTGTTAGAGAGAAAGGATTAAAACAACAAAAAATCTGAATAGTCCAATAAGCAAAAAATCTAATCTCCGAGGCTCATAGCCAGATGACTTACATCGTGAACTTCTTCCACTGAAATATATGCTTCTGTGGGCAGTCCCAGGTCCTTTGGCTTCACGTCAATAATGACCAGTACCTGGCAGAAAAACACACTTTAGCAAACCAGCTCACACCAAGCATAAGGAATAATCACAGCCATCCTTCTGATGAGGATTACTAAAGCTATTCATTCATTCAACCAGACATGAGCTGGAGTTTTCAGCAGAAATGAGTCTACATTTCACATGATCCCACCATTTTCTCTGCTCTTCGCCCCCACCCATTAACAAGCTGAGAGGTAGTACAGTGCGGTTATCAAGTCTAAGAAAGTCCGAATCAAGACAGGCAACATTTTGGTCCCATCCCCAACATGTATGAGACCTTACTAACCACTATGAACCTCACTTTTCTTGTTGTAAAGAGGGTAACAACCCCATATAGCTATTGGGAGGATTAAGCACTTAGCACACGTTTACTGTTACTTATAAGTATCTTGGGTTAGTGTAAACTGTAGAAAACAGTACCAATTCGGGATGCCTGGGTGGCTTAGTTCATTTAAGTGTCCAACTCTTGATTTTGGCTCAGGTCATGATCTCACCCTCCCACCCCATCCATCCCCAGCTGAGTCAGGCTCTGCACTGACAGTGTTTATCAAAATAAATTAATTAACAAACTAAAAAAAAAGAAAGAAAAGAAAATGCTACCAATCAACACAAGCAGTTTATAGAGAAAAAAGCAGTGAAATGATTTGCTATCCAAATCCAAATGCTTACATAAGTTAGCAGGCAAGGAATATCACTCAAGAGTTTTTTTTTTTTATTTTTTATTTTTTTTAATTTTTGGGACAGAGAGAGACAGAGCATGAACGGGGGAGGGGCAGAGAGAGAGGGAGACACAGAATCGGAAACAGGCTCCAGGCTCCGAGCTATCAGCCCAGAGCCTGACGCGGGGCTCGAACTCACGGACCGCGAGATCGTGACCTGGCTGAAGTTGGACGCTTAACCGACTGCGCCACCCAGGGGCCCCTCACTCAAGAGTTTTAAAGACAGAGCGAACTTACTGAGTTAGGGCAGTATCTCTTCATAAGTTCATTAATGGCGATGTCATTCTTGTGTAGTTTAGGACCTGTGTGGTACCACCCAACGATTCTTTCTCTGGCTGGGAAGGAAAACATTAATGGTTTTGAACTGTTACATGAAGATCTATATAGAGTTCCCTCCAAAAGGATGGTAAGATCTCTAGTTCTTATGTTCTCTATCTTTTTCAAAATTCCAGACACCTATTTTAAGCCTTGACATACTTGTGAAATCTAAAAGGAATAGAATTCTCAGAAAATAAGCAGTGAGGGAAATCCAGAGACACCCACATCTCAGACTAGTTGAGGCCAGTCACACATGAAACTAGAAAACAATTCCAAGGCAATATGTAAACAAACGCAAGTCTCTGTCACACAGAACCGTGAGCTGTGGGGGGAGCTCTAAGAGCTATGTGGTTGCTCTAAGGAAATAAAACAAAGATGACACGTGACAGAGAGAGATTTACCGTGGTGGTACTTAAGCTCTAGGGGCAGGTGGATTTCATTTGATAGTGCTTCACTTTTCTGCTGCAGAGGGCTAGATCTCTTACCCAAAACCTAGGCCTGTCTATCTGGTCTTAAATTGCTACTCTAATTTCTCATTTATTCCACCTCATTCCTTTACTACCACTAGTCTTACTTAAGACTAGCCAAGTGAAAGAGCCCTTGACATTAAACAAAGAGAAGGGAATACATACGTAGAAAAGGAAAAAAAACCACAGCACACCAGGGGCATGTAGCTGGGCATGCATATACAAATACACACAGATATAAATCAATACCTTCTTTAAAAAATCAATCAATCAAGACATACCATTGACCTTCTTAAACATTCCATACATGTTTTCCAAATAATCATGGTCTAAAAACCAGACAGAATCATCTTTGTCATCTTCATCAAAAGGTACTACGGAGAAAAAATAAGTAAGATGTAGTTTAGGGTGCTAGACAGAACTCTAGGGCATATGTTACAGCTGGAGACCCAAGGCCACATCTGATCGATATGTTTGGCTTGTTCAACACAGCATTAAAATTACTTTTTAAGTTGCTGTCATTAAAAACTGGGAGATTTCATATATAAATCCAGACTTCCACTTCTCTTGAAACTGAAAGACCTGGCAATAACTGGCTAGAGCCAGACAGAGGACCCTCCTGTCCCCACCTTAACAGGGACACAAGCTCATCAGTCTGCTAAAAGCCCTATCACTTCCCAATATTTCCCTTTAACAAATAACATTACTGCTCAGTCCTTTCAGATACTGGAGATTGGGACCTCAGGTCTACAGTTTATTCCAGACCAATTATTTTGTTCTTTGTTGTTAATCATAAAATACATGGATACATTCTTTTTTTTTAATTTTAGAGAGAGTGCACACATGGATGCCAGCAGGGGAGAGGGGCCCAGGGAGAGAGAGAGAGAATCTTCAGCAGGCTCCAGGCTCAGCCCAGAGCCAGATGTGGGGATAGATCCCATGACCTTAGGATTATGACCTGACTTGAAATCAGAGTCAGACGCTCAACTAACTGGGCCAGCCAGAAGCCCCTGGATACATTCTTGTAAAGATTCATGATGCTGAGTAAAAGGTAATATTCTCCATCTTCCCCTTGCCAACCCATGACCATGGTTAACAGTTTACAGGGATTGCAAGGTTACGACATCAGAGCTGCCTACTTTTATAAAGTTTTGCTAGAATATAGCTACCCCTTTGTCAACATACTGTCTACAGTTGCTTTTCTGCTACAGTAGCAGCGCTGAGCAGTTGCAATGGAGACTCTCTGGTCAGGAAATTTAAAATATTTACTATTCAGCTTAGTGAGTACTCTTTAGCCTCCCTTTTCTATACTTTAGCAATTCTGCCATTGAATTTCTGGGTTGTAGTAAAAATGGAAACCATGAGGGCTTCTTTTTTTATTTTAAAGCTGTTTGACATTTTAACCACGCTCAGAAAAATGTAAAAGTTGTCTTGTACCTGCAAAACTGTTGGATACATCAAGTACTTTCTTTTGCCATGACCCCAAAAGCACACCAACGACACGCTTCTGGTTTCCAACCTTGCCTATTCTGAGGGAGAAAGCAGAAGGTCAGTCTGACAGGCACACAGAGAGGTAAAGCCAACAATCGGATACTCAACAGGAAATATCAATGGTATAGATACAAGTTAGTTTACCTGCGATCTAATCCCAGTAAACAAATGTGTTAGGTTAGTCCCTAATATTAAAACTTAATGAATATAATAGGTAATTCACGAACTTTGTACACTGGCATTTTTTACCCACTTGTTATTTCTAAGAAATAACATGCTTGTTAACATTTCAAACTTTATAAAGTTTGCAGTTATTCATCTTAAATGGAGAAATGAAAATGGAGAAAATAAAAACTCCCCAGATCGTTAAGAGTTTTAAAATGTTATTTGGTTGGTGTTTGAAAAATACATTTCAGTTATGCTACCACCTTTCACTTTTTCTTTTGCAGCTTTCTCCTTTAAACTTTTCCCATCTTCTCGATCCTCAAATATTTTCGGAGATAAAGATGCTAACGTAGAACCACTTTTATGGTCTGGTGCGCCAACTGTTCTCTGGATTATCTAGCCCACGAGGACAAGCCCCACTAGAAGTTACAATTCTTTGTACCATCTAGGGGCTCAGACACTGGGTTCTGACCCTGAGTTAATGTGTGTGCCATCTGGTCTCTGTGAATGGCTTAATCAGGCAGAGGTCAGATGTGAGCTGGTGACGTAATTACACTGAGAGGAGGGCTGAACAAGTGAGAAAGATTTTACTTCAGCATTTCTATTTACCTGTCAAACCTCCTCAGTGATTTTTGTCTTCAGGAGCTACAAGTGTTTCAGTTATACAATCTCATTTCAATGAGATCTTCACATAGGATTCTCCTTTAACCGCTAGCAAATGTGAGGCACAGACACAAAACAACTTCATGTTCAAAGGAAAGACAAAGGTCACGCCAATGTGAAACGAACCACAATTCCTTAACAGTCACTGTATTTAATGTATTAATTTTTCTAAACATACAACTTGGAAAAAAATCTTTTATTTTTTATTATTTTTGAGAGAGACAGAGAGAGACAGAGTGTGAGCGGTGGAGGGGTAGAGAGGGAGACACAGAATCCGAAGCAGGCTCCAGGCTCTGAGCTCTCAGGACAGAGCCCGACACGGGGTTCAAACTCACAGACTGTGAGATCATGACCTGAGGTGTAGTCGGTGCCGCCCAACTGACTGGGCCACCCAGGTGCCCCACGGCTCCGCAACTTTATAAATGCTTACCAAATTTGGGATTTGGGTCAAACCAAGTTAAGGATTCTATATCCCTGGTGATTCTGAATTTTTGGGAAATCTCAGGCACTGAATTTCCACACTTGCAAGGAAACTTCCACACCATGTGCTTTTCTTTTGGTCTACAAAAACCCATGGTTTTTAAAACCCTACATCTGTTATGACAGCAGCCAGTAGTGTCTGCACCATGTCATCTGAACAGAACTGAAATTAGCACCCCCTTAGCACCTCTAGTTCCTATGGGAGAAAAATAGTAACTACTGTACAGTGGGAATGCCCTCATATCCTGTTAGACTGAGGGCTCTACAAAGCAGTGGAACTGGGGACCCCAAGCCTTAAGGAGTCTTGAGGGTTTTGTTTGTTTTGTTTTGTTTTGTTTTAGCTCTGGCTGAATGAGGAGTTGTACAAGGCAAGTTGCAGGAGAATAGGTGCTTCAACAACTGACTTTGTCTTTACACTTGCCAATTCAAGTAATTATCTTGTAAAAGTTATGAACACGTGTAACAGGTCCAGCAGGACGAACAGCTCCAAAACAAGCAAAGCGAAGGCGGAAGAAACATTTGTGGAATGTTTTATCTTTATTCATTAATGCCCAAATCTCCTAATGCTCTTATTTTTAAAAGAAACACTTGACAACTAATCTACATTTTAAGTTCCCATCAAAACAGATTCCTGTTTTGAAACCACAGCTCTCCCCGGGAGCCCTTCAGGGTACTGAGACCAGAATTTTGGTGACAGCCTTCAGAGGCACAGAAGCACAAATCTGCAGCGTTTTCCTACGAGGCACCGAGTCTTTCTGGTGAAAAGGGGCGGACGAAGTGACAGATGGGCACGAGGCCTGGGGGATCAGGGCCAACTGAAGCTTGCCCCCATATTCTGGCAGCGTACGGAGTTGGGTAAAAGGAAGGGGCAGTCCGGACCGCGGAGTGCCGGATGGGGACGGGGGGAAGATGCTGGGTGATTTAGGCTTCGTGATCCGAGGGTGGTCCGGGCCCCTGGGCGAGTCAGTGCCACCCCCGGCCCATCAGCACCCCCGCGGCCGCCGCGCCGTCCCAGCGTGCCAGTGACTCAGCAGCGGCGATCCCGATAGGCCGCCCCGCGCACCCGCTCACCGGTTGAAATGATCCACCACACTGAGCAGCACCAAGGGGTGAACTACCACCTTCTGCACAGCCAGCTCCGGCATCGCGACACACGCCGCCCGGCAGGCCCCGCTCCTCGCGACCCGCAAACACCGGCAGCCTCAGGGACTCTCGCGGATCCTCCAGGCCCGGCTCCTCCTCTTCCGGCTCGGCCGCCGCCACGATTCCCTTTTTCCGCTCCCAGAGTGCCCCGCGCGCAGCCCCGGGTTTTCGCGCCAGCTGCCATCTTGAGGACGGGGAAGACCGGGGGCAGGTGGGGCCCGCCTTGGGTGACTCGCTGGGAGATTTCCTGGTCTTCGAAGCTAAAGGCACACTGGAGACTGAGAAAAAGGTTGACCTCCTGGTATTGGGCCTGCGCTGTCCCTTGCAGCGGCCTTTCGCTTTAGTTCCTTCGCAGTTCACACCCTCCCCCAACCCTTACGCTGTCTGAAGACTGCAGAAAAAAATACTAGAAAAAAATAGTAATTCATATCTCCACCACCCAGAAAATGTTCACCTTTGTTTCATGTCAGAATTCTCCAGAATTTAACTCTAAATCTCTAGGGATGCCTGGCAGGCTCAGTTGGTAGAGCCTGCAACTCTTGATCTAAGGGTGGGAATTCAAGTCCTACATTGGGTGTAGAGCTTACTTCAAAACAAAACAAGACCTCAGAAGGGATGAATCTCTAACATGAGGGCACATTCTTAAAGTGGGTTTGGTAAATTTATCTCATTTTTTATTGTTGGGGAATTTCCCCTTAATATTTACTGTGGACACTTTGCCGATAATCAACCTGTTTTTATTTTTCCACCTGTTTATATTGCTTACCATTTAACTGGGGCTAGAAAAGTTCAATTTGTGCCTTGAGTCAGACCATTCGGGTTGTTTTTCACATAAAAGCTTAGGTAAGGGTTGAAGTAACTGAAAAGTAATACGAAATATGTTTTGATATTTAGCTAGGAAAGAAAAAAAGACTAAGGATAATGTAGCAGGTGAAGACACGCATGTTTGCAGAAAGGCAAATTATTTAAATTTCGTGCAAGTTTACGTTTCTAATTCTGAGTTGTATGTGTAAACAAAAACAATACCTAAGCGACTTGAATGCTTTGCTTATTGTTTGCCCTGTCTTTAAACAACTTTTACCTTCCCCATAGCTCTAGAGGATCTGACCTCTCTGAAGAATAACCCGGAGCCTTTTGCTCTGAATCTTGGCCTCCTTCCAGTATAATCGGGGAGCTTTGAGTATTCTTTTCTGGGTCCTACCCATTAAATTCATTAAATGTACTCTTTCTACTTTTGGGAACATTGCTTTGCATTTTCATTTGTTTTAATATTTGTGATTTGGTTAATAGTAATTGCTACTACTTGAGAAAACAGAACTTTAAGATTAAGAAAATGTAAGTCAGTCCCCATTGTGTGATGTGGTAAAGCATGCTTGAGGGGTTTTAGTGCCTGTTTTAAAGTAGATATTCTTGGGGTTCCTGAGTGGCTTAGTGGATTAAGCAGCCAACTCTTTGGTATCTGCCCAAGTCATGATCTGGAGCCCAATGTGCTCTGTGCTCACTGCACGGAGACTGCTTCGGATCCTATGTCTCTCTTTCTGGCCCTTTCCCACTTGCTGTCTCTCTCTCTCAAAAATAAATAAACATTAAAAAAAAATTACAAAGTAGATATTCTTGTTTCATCTCTTCTATGATGTTGTTCAACACAGGATAGACATGTATCTGTTATGGAAAGAACTTGGAAAGATTCCTTCCCCCCAATTTTGTAATTAAAAATATAATAGTGGGGCGTATGGGTGACTCAGTCAGTTGAGCGTCTGACTCTTGGTTGGGCTCAGGTCGTGAGCTCGTGGTTCATGAGTTCGAGCCCCATGTGGGGCTCTGTGCTGGCAGTTCAGAGTCTGCTTGGGGTTCTGTCTTTCTCCCTCTCTCTGCCCCTCCTTCTCTCTCTCTCTCTCTCTTTCTCTCAAAAACAAATAAGTAAACTTTAAAAAATCAAAAAAATTAATAGATATCAGAAGATCAAAGATTGATTTTGATTTTTCTCGTGTCAAATAAGGCTTAAAAATTGGAGCCTCAAAGTGTGCCTGGGTGGCTCAATTGTTTAAGTGTCTGGCTTTGGCTCAGGTCATGGTCTCACGTGCATTCAAGTCAGGGCTCTGTGCTGACAGCTTGGAGCCTGGAGCCTGCTTTGAATTCTGTCTCTGCCTCTCTGCCCCTCCCCTACTCACACTCTGTCTCTCTCTAAGATAAACATTAAAAAAAAACAATAAAAGTCCTTAAGAAAAAAAAAAAAGAATTGGAGACTTAAGAAAGCTTTTTTTTTATGTATAAAAAAACTGAAATATGTAGAATTTAAAGAAGATGCCTTGAAATCATAAGGAAGGTATTTTCTGTGTTGCTCTCCCCCCTCCTTTTTTTTTAAATGGAACTGACTTGAAATATTTGATACTGTAGCCACTACTGGGTGCTGAATTCATTCAGAGGTATGCAGAATGTTCACTAAATTCTAGACTTAACCTGATGAGAGCTTAAGGATAATACATTTTCCTCTCCTTTGATCCTCTTTGTTTTTCTTTTTTTAAAAAATGTTAAATTCTTCTTTTTCCAGATTTATTGAGACATAATTAACATATAACATTGTGTAATTGTAAGGTGTACAACATGATTTGATACACATATATATTGCAAAATGATTACCACAATAAAGTTAGTTAAGACCTGCATCACCTCACATAATTCTCTTTTGTGTGTGGGGGGCAGTGGAGAGAACATTTCTGATTTACTCTCTTAGCAACTTTCAAATACATAAGCCAGTACTGTTAACTATAGTCACCATAGTGTACATTAGATCCCTATCTTACAGTTGGAAGTTTTCCCTTTTTTCACCAACATCTTGTTTCTCCAGCCCTTTCTATCTCTGGCAACCACTATTCTACTCACTCTTCCTGTAAGTTCAACCTTTGAAGATTCCACATATAAGCGAGATTATACAGTATTTATCTTCTTGATATATTTCACTTAGCATAATGCCCTCATGGTCCATACATGTTGCAAATGGCAGAATTTCCTTCTTATGACTGAAATATATATATATATGTGTATATGTATACATATATATATAAACATATATATACATATACACATACATGTATATGTGTATATATATGTAAATCTGTATACGTAGACACACATATATATGGCATTTTCTTTATCCATTCATCCATTAATGAACATTTCTGTTGTTTCTATAACTTGCTGTTGTGAATAATGCTACAGTGAACATAGGGGTACAGGCATCTCTTTGAAATAGTGATTTCATTTCTTCTGTATCCATACCAGAAGTGGGTTGCTGAATCATATTGTAGTTCTATTAGTTATTTGAGGTATCTTCATACTTTTTTCCATAGTGGTTTTACCTATTTACATTCCCATCAACAGTGCACAAATGTTCCCTTTTCTCCTCATCCTTGTCAACACTTGTTATCTCATGTCTTTTTAATAATAGCCATTTTATTATGGTGTGAGGTGATACCTCATTGTGGTTTTGATTTGCATTTCCCTGATGACTAATGATGTTGAGCTGAGCATCTTTTTATGTATCTGTTGGCCATTTGTATCTCTGGAAAAATGTGTATCCTGATCTGCCCATTAAAAAAATACTTATTATTTTTTGTTATTGAGTTGTATGAGTTCTTCATATATTTTGGATATTAACCCGTTATTAGATATAGGGTGTGAGAATATTTTTTTTCCATTCCCTAGGTTGCTTATTTTGCTGTACAGATGGTTTTCAGTTTCATATAGTCACACATTTATTTTTGCTTTTGTTGCTTATGCTTTTGGTGGCATGTACAAAATAGTGTTAAGATCAATGTCAAGGATCTATTTCTCCTATGTTTTCTTCTAGGAATTTTACATCTTAAGGTCTTACATGAAAATCTTTAACCCATTTCAAGTTAATTTTTATTAATGGTGTAAGATAGGGGTCCAGTTTCATTCTTCTGCATGTGAATATCTGGTTTTCTCGGCACCATTTAATAAAGAGACTATCTTTTCCCTATTGAGTATTCTTACTCTCACTCAGACTGTTCTGGCTCTCATTCTCTTCTCTTGGTGTGTGTGTCTGTGTTTATGCCAGTACCATACTGGCATATGGTAGCTTTATAATAAATTGTGATAGCTTTATAATAAAGTTTGAAATCAGTAGATAGGGTGGCTCCAGCTCCCCCCACCCCCAAGATTGCTTTGGCTATTTGGGGTCTTTTGTGGTTCCATACAAATTATAGGATTGTTTTTCCTTTTTCTGTGAGAAATGTCATTGGAATTTTGGTAGGGATTGCAAAGAATCTATAGATGGCTTGGGTAGTATGGACATTTTAACAGTATTGATTCTTCTGATCCATGAGCATGGGATAACTTTCCATTTATTTGTTTCATCTTTAATCTTTCATCAGGGTCATAATTTTCAGTGTATAGATCTTTTGCCTTTGGTTAAATTTATTCCTAAGTATATTATAGTTTTTGATGCTATTGTAAATGGGATTTTTTAAACATTTATTTTCCAGATATTTTGTGGTTAGTGTATAGAATCCCAACTGATTTTTTAAAATAAGTGTGTTTTTATTTGTTTATTTTTTGAAATAGGCTCCACCCAACATGGGGCTTGAATTCACAACCCTGAGGTCAAGAGTCACATGCTCTACCAGCTAAGCCAGCCAGGAGCCCCAGAATCCCAACTGATTTTGTATGTTGCAACTTTACTGAATTTTTTATTGGTTCTAACAATATTTTGGTGGTCTTTAGGATTTTCTATATATAAGATCGTCTGCAAACAGAGACAGTTTTCTTTCTTTCTTTCTTTCTTTCTTTCTTTCTTTCTTTCTTTCTTTCTTTTTCTTTCTTTCTTTCTTTCTTTCTGATTTGGATACAATTTCTTTCTTTTTCTTGCCTAATTATTCTGGCCAGGACTTCCAGTATTGTGTGAATAGGATGCTGAGAGTGGCCCCCTTTGTCTTGTTCCTGATCTTAGAAGGAAAGCTGTTAACTTTTCACCATTGAGTATGATGTTTGCTGTGGGCATGTCATGTACGTCAGTTATTATGTTGATGTATGTTCCTTCTATACTGAATTTGTTGAGA